TCCAGCGGTCGGAGACGCGCCCCCGGTGCCAAGCAGTCCTGTCGAATGATGACCTCGTCGGCACCGCTGTCCACCAGTGCGCAGACGGGGCGGCCATCGATGAGGACCTGCGCGAACCGGCCACCCGGCTGAGGACCGCCGGTCACCACGCCGCGTGCCAGCAGCGACTGCTCCTCATCCGACAGAAGTGGCGGCGGCTGCGGCGGCGACGAGCCAGGCTGTGGCGGCGACGGCGAGCCAGGCCGCGGCGGCAGCGAGGCAGGCGGCGGCGGCGACGAGCCAGGCCGTGGCGGCGGCGACGGCAGCGAGCCAGGCCGCGGCGGCGGCGACGGCAGCGAGCCAGGCCGCGGCGGCAGCGAGGCAGGCGGTGGTGGCGGCGGCGGCAACGAGCCAGGCCGCGGCGGCGGTGACGGCGGCGAGCCAGGCCGCGGCAGCAGCGAGCCAGGCGGCGGCGGCGGCGGCAACGAGCCAGGCCGCGGCGGCGGCGACGGCGGCGAGCCAGGCGGCGGCGACGGCGAGCCAGGCCGCGGCGACAGCGAGGCAGGCGGCGGCGGCGGCGGCGAGCCAGGCGGCGGCGACGGCGAGCCAGGCCGCGGCGACGGCGAGCCAGGCCGCGGCGACAGCGAGGCAGGCGGCGGCGGCGGCGGCGGCGGCAACGAGCCGGGCCGCGGCGGCAGCCACGAGCCAGGCCGCGGCGGCGGCGACGGCGGCGAGCCAGGCGGCGGCGGCGGAGAGCCAGGCCGCGGCGGCAGCGATCCAGGCGGCGGGTGCGAGCCAGGTAGTGGCGAGCCAGGCCGCGACGGCAGCGGCAAGACAGGCTGCGTTGATGGGCCAGGCAGATTCGGCGAGCCCAGCTGCAGCGGCGGCGGCGACGACGGCGAGCCAGGCGGCGGCGGCGGCGAGCCAGGCCGCGGCGACAGCGAGGCAGGCGGCGGCGGCGGCGAGCCAGGCGGCGGCGACGGCGAGCCAGGCCGCGGCGACAGCGAGGCAGGCGGCGGCGGCGGCGGCGGCGGCAACGAGCCGGGCCGCGGCGGCAGCCACGAGCCAGGCGGCGGCGGCGGCGACGGCGGCGAGCCAGGCGGCGGCGGCGGAGAGCCAGGCCGCGGCAGCAGCGAGCCAGGCGGCGGGTGCGAGCCAGGTGGTGGCGAGCCAGGCCGCGACGGCAGCGGCAAGACAGGCTGCGTTGATGGGCCAGGCAGATTCGGCGAGCCCAGTTGCAGCGGCGGTGGCGACGACGGCGGCGAGCCGGGCGGAGACGGCGAGCTAGACTGCGACGGCAGCGGCAAGACATGCTGCGTTGATGGGCCAGGCAGATTCGGCGAGCCCAGCCGCAGCGGCGGTGGCGGCGGCGAGGCAGGCGGCGGCGGCGGCGGCGGCGGCGGCGGCGGCAACGCGCCAGACCGCGGCGGCGGCGACGGCGGCGAGCCAGGCGGCGGCGGCAGCAAGCCAGGCCGCGGCGGCGGCGGCGGCGGCAACGGGCCAGGCTGCGGCAGTGGCGGCCACAGCGGCGGCGGGCCGGGCCGAGGTGGTCGCGAGCCAGGTAGTACCCCCAGCACCGCTCGCCTGACTTCTCCTGATCCTTGACTCAGGCAAGGGGCTGACTCGATGCGCCGGTCGACCGGGCGGCCCCACCGCTCGTCGACCGGCCTCCGTTTCCCGAACTGCGGCACACAACTCCCAGGTGTCCGCGTCGGCCGCAGCGCCCGCAGACGTCACCCCGGAACAAACACTCCCGTCTCCAGTGACCGGTCTGGCCACAGACGAAGCAGGCCGAACGGTCCCGTTCCGGGTCAGCTCGCCCGGGACCATCTGCGGTTGTGACGGGCACGCGATGAACAGAAGCCACCGCGGAGCCGTAAAGATGATCAGCGCGTTCTAACGCCTCAACCACGCGGATGGCCTCATCTAGCGTGGCACAGCCCTCTCGGGTTATTTCTCTGCCGTATTCTGCCGGCAGCGCTCGCTGCAGCTGGAGAAGCGTCACACTAGAGCGGCCCTCCTCGCTCAAATGCGGATATGCATGGCGCACTCCAGCCCTGACTCTCAACAAGTAATCTTGGATGTTGCCAAGGTATTGTTCCGCGTCAATAGACCTGGCCGCGGATAGCTGATCAGGTGTTCCGCCTAAAACCTTCTTGGCTGTGATATCAACTTCCTCCAGAGTCTCAAAATGTGTCTGACGAAGAGCTTCTTTTACGTTTCCTTCCACAAAGAAACGGATGAAACTAACCTTTTTCTCGATCGTCCATTTTTTTAGCTCCCCGAACAGTTTGAAGTCGTCAAACCAGTTTTCCCATTCTTGATACGACGTACCAGTAAACTTGTCGAGAGAAATATCTCCAGACATCTTGTGTGAGCCTGTGAGTGCACACCGCTGCCACCACTTTGGCGTGTTCTCGGGCTCCACACACACACAGGGCTCCTTTCGCAGTCTATTCCAGACCCCAACTGACCGCCCCGGACCAGCGGGCACCCGCCAGGTCGGGGTTCGGCCAATCACAACGCACCTGATCCACACGGCCAATCACACACTGCCACACACTGTCCACGTCATGTCACCCCACTCAGGCCGCTGCGCCACTATGGAGGTGCAAACACACCACACCATTCCATTCCTCCAACTCACAACTCACAACAGCTCTAATAATCAAAGTTTTCAATGAAATGTGTCCCAACCACCAGGTGCTGTTTCTCTGGGCTGAAGAATAGGGTGCAAATAGGGTGGGCGCAATCACGAATGGAACACATTTTTCATGAGCTTCAAATATGGCGACGACAGCGAAGCCACGGTGGTGATAAACTTTCAAAACTACCATTAAACGAGCAATTAACAATGATTATTAGTTGAATCACTATCTCTAAGATAAACCATGACACTAGCAAAGGTCGAAATAGACTGTTTCGCGTAAGAAAATAGAGGAAATAACAAAAAAATGGTCTGCGAGAAAGCTGAGACACCTCACCTGCCCCCGTGGACCGGAATAAGAGCGAGCTAATAATTGGTGGTGAAGTAAATGCACACATTCGAGTATTCGTTCGAATCGAATTTTGGGCAGGAGGAAGGTGTGGCGCATTTAACCCGCGCCCCACTGGGGTCTGCGTATAACACGCCCTACTGGGGGGGGGGGCTATTCATAGCCCCCCCTCCTAACTCCGAAACTACTGGGCCGATCGTCAAAATTCAAACGGCGTCTGATAGCCCCGGAAAAACTGTCGAGCGAAACCTAATTTCATTGACCTCGAGGTCACCGATGACGTCACAGGTCAGGTCAAAGTAAAAATTATTAGCATTTTGCTTATTCACGTTTTGGGCTCTGGTCGCCGTCTTACAAGTCAGATCAGGCTCATTTTTGGATCACACACTCGTGAACAGATGCTCTAGATACCCCGAGGGTACCAAACTTGTACTTTCATTTTCAGGTCAAGGTCAGGTCATCACAGGTCACGAAAATATTATATCATGCGTCGGTCACGTGACACATGTTTTATGGTCCATTTAGGCCAGAGATTTCGAATGTGATGTCGTCTGTGTCATTCGAGGTCATTTTAAGTCGAATTTAGCTTAGGTCAGGTCACTTTCAGGTCAAAAAAGGTCAAATTTTGAAGTTAAAATTTTTCAACAAAAAAGGTGTCTATTGGATGCAGTTTGAGCTCAGGAACACGATGATGCTATTTATATTGGCGTACGATGCCAAATACGTGCTGAAAAATTGATTTGAAATATTAATAATTGTGAATTTTTTGCAATAATGCGTAAAACTTGGCCATTTTTGAAGATATTTAGCTAAAACTTGCTAGAGTTAGTCATAATAATGCGTTCTATCACATATATTCCGGTTTTTTCGAAAAGTTAAAAACTTTTTGAAAAAAATGTCAAAATATAAATTTTGGATTTCATTATATCACATTTTCGAAATTTTCAAAATTTCGAAAATCCGAGATAGCAGTTTGATAGCGCAGTCTATTCTGAGTCCTCTCATGCAAAGAAATTGGATCTAGCTTAAAAACTGAGCTCTTGGGAGCGATTGCCGTGGTTCAGTGTTTTGCGTCGAAATCGGCCGAACATGACGTCACTCTGACGTCATTTCCGGCCGACCTATGGTAGCTACGAAGTTAAAATTTTGACACAAGGTGTTAAATTGATGCAGCCGAAGGTACTGAAAGTTTGGCGTCGATACGTCAAGCGGTTTGGAAGTTATTGCAGAAAAACGGGAGGGGGGGCTATAAATAGCCCCCCCCCCAGTGGGGCGCGGGTTAAGAACATGGCGCAATATGACCTCTCTCCCCTACAGAGTTCTTCCAAACCGGCTGCCAGTTAGCTCCTTGACTCCATTCGTCGCCACTCGCCGCTCGGGCGTGCCTTTATGCCTGGAGCCCGTCACCCATTGTTACAATTGGCCACAGTGGACCATCGGGCACAGGAAGACGGGAAAATGCTGTTGTGAGCTGGGAAAATAGTGCAGTAAGCTGAGCAAATAGTGCAGGGATCTGAAAAAATAGTGCAGGGAGCTGAGAAAATAGTGCAGCTACCGAGAAAAGGTGGGCTGGATATTGGTTACCAGGTGGGCGGTAATTAGATGGGCCAACTCTGTCGGCCGCGGCGTCCGTCGGAGTTGGCCTGCAATTAGTCAGCAATAGGACCCGGGAGTCGCGGCATATGAGCTCGGCCCGCCGGCCCAGAGTACATTGGACGCCCGTCTGGGCCACGGCGGGCCTGACCTGCCATAATGAAACTCGGGCGACATATTGGACGGCCCAGACAGCGGAGGATGGCGGCCGGCTGGTGGTGGCCTGTACCGACCGGCAGTGCTAGAGTGGAAACGCTGAATGCCTTACTGTTGAGACTTAATGCTGGCGCTACAAACAGCGCAAACCTGTTTTTGACTGATGCATCCGGTCCGAGGAAGTCAGACACCTAATAGGTGCGCATTAACTCTTATCGTGATCCATGCCTGAACGCCAATCTCTTGACACGCCGTCCCGTGTTTGTTTCGTTTCAGATATTTGGCTGTTTTTTGGCATGGGAGACGCGCCATGTGAATATCGCTGCTCTGAACGACTCCAAGTACATAGGTATGAGTGTCTACAACGTGGTAATCATGTGCGTCATCGGCGTGGCCATCTCGTTCGTCCTGTCCGACGACCAGGACGCCTCCTTCATCATCATCTCCGTCTTCATCTTGTTCTGCACCACCGGCACGCTGTGTCTAGTCTTCGTACCTAAGGTGGGTGACGGACTGGCGGACGCACTGTACATATCTAGTCTTCGTACCTCCGGCACTGGAGCACTGCAGTGTCGACTATGGGCTACATCTAGGGTTTGGTCGATAAATGTGATACTGGCCGACCAAATATGTGCACTGGGAAGCTTAAATGCCCACAGCTCTGTTAGATGAAGGCAATCAGCAAGGAGTGTTTTACTGATTATTTATCGATACTTTAAAAAATATCTTGAAATAGGTAACCAGGAATCCATCACTTGTTCCACGTTTTAACCGCAGGTTGTTTAAATTAGACAAACACTATTCGTTAGTAAATGTAGTGATTGACGTTAAACTGTCACAGGATAAATGGTATATATCAGCAAAGTATTCATTTTCATCTATATAAAATTCGAAATGTTATACAAAGGAGAGCAATTCTTGCTATCGGCTTGATTTAGAGGCCCAGCCTAGGGACGTAAAACGGGTCGTGCAGCATTATTGAACGATGAGGGTAAAAAGCCTATTGAGAACATGTTAGTCATCAGAGTGAAACTTTGCGATAAGCGAGGGCCGATTTCAAAAGGAAATCTAGCGGGTGATCGTATTGCCATGAAAATGGAATAAATCATGGCTTGGTCCAGCTATCACATTAGCTTCAGGCCAGCGAACAAAATTGATGGCAAGAGAAATTAAATAAATTTTCTGACATGAAAACCACTTGACAGTGAAGGATGTTAGTTATGTTTAAAAGTGTCAGAACTTTCATCACCTGACCTTATTCTCCTTCATCCAACCACAGCCTGTGACCTCTCCCCCGATCCTCAACCTGTACTGCTCCTTCGAACTCGACTGCTCCTTCATTCCTCGATTCTGTGATATCGCCACTCTGCTCTGCATATTCTCGCCAAGGCTCTCTGGCCTGACCTGTGTAGCCACTCCCTGCCCTGACCTGTCTGTTACCTGCCTGACCTCTCTTTGCTCCGTGACCTGACCCGTGTAACAACTCCCTAGCCTGACCGGTCTCACTGCTCTCTGAAGTGCCTCTGCTCCTTGACCTCTATCGCTGCAGCGCTGCACCCTGACCTGTCTAGTCTCTGCCCCCCTGCTCCCTGCTCCCTGCCCTGTCTCTCTGCCCCCGCTCTGACCTGTGTCCCCGCCCCGCCGGCAGCTAATTGAGCTGCAGAAGTCGAAGCGGGCGCCGCCGGGCCGGCTGCGCGCCACACTGAAGCCGCCCCGCTCGCGGGGCTACCAGTGCACGGTGAACGCCGCCGCGCTGGGCATCAGGGAGAACATCCGCCGATCAGAGGACATGGCCACCCGGCTGCGGCTCAAACTGCGCGCCCTCGAGCAGGAGCTGGACGTGAGTGACCGCCGGGGCAGCGCTGAGCGCAGGGGTAGCGCCGGGGTCCGCTGCTCGAGCAGGGACTGGACGTGAGTGAAGGACGGGGCTGCGCCGGGGCTGGCCCGGGGCAGTGCCGGGGCAGTGCCGGGGCAGTGCCGGGGCAGTGCCGGGGCAAAGCCGGGGCAGTGCCGGGGTAGAGCCGGGGCATCACCGGGGCAGCGTTCTCGAGCAGGGACTGGACGTGGGTGAAGGACGGGGCTGCGCCGGGGCAGCGCCGGGGCAGTGCCGGGGCAGTGCCGGGGCCGGCCTGTACAGGGACACCCGCCGTCCGCGCTGGCACAGATACCTCGCTCACAGACAGGCCCTGGCCAGCTAGGGTTTATCTGATAGCGCTGATTGGGGTCGCTGGCTGCATTGACCCACACCGATCGATACCATTGACCTTGACACCACTCCAGCTATCGAGAGACGTACCGTAAGTGGCGGCTTTAGATGGTGTCGCGGAATTGAATTCAAACTGACAGAGAGCAGTCCCGAAATGTTTCCGAGTAAGCTATTCGAATGCCGCGGCAGTGTATCCCATAAACGCCAGGGGCGGCGCGGCGGCTGTCGTCGCTGTCGGGGCCACTTCTCACGGCATTGTTATGGAATGAAGCGACTGTCACCCGAGATGGTCGGTCGTAGCCCGTATCGTTTCCGCCCGGCTGATCGTTATGACGAGCCGGCGCGGTCGTACGTCATTCTGTCGCCGCCGTCTGACCGCAGACGGCCGCCGGCAGTTAGTTGATGGCACCGTCGCGTGTCAGATGGTCGGAGGGGGACGGGGGGGGGGCGCACGACAGCTGCGTCCACGATACCGGCCGAGGTGCAGGCGGGGAGGGGACAGGGAAGGGCTGCGGCTCTGTCAGAGAGAATGTGATCGAGAAGACTGATGACAGATCGCACTGTACGATAGCGGACAGAAATCACCCTAGATTGCTGAACTATGGACTGGATTAGTGTCCATGACTTCAGTGAAACTCTCAACACACAAAACTGTCATCACACAGTGTGGACTCTTTGGTTAACCCGGCTCAGTTTTGAGTTTCCAACGGCGCTCTGTTTGCTTATCGCTGGATAAGAGGTTGAACAAAGCCGCGGTCGGTCCGACGGCACAGGATCGTCGGCTTCGACGGGCGGCCAGCGGCGGATGCCGTGGTCACCGCGGACCGGCAGTGTGGGCCAGTAAATTATTGCCTCGGACGCTGGCGATATGGCTGTTTGCCTGTGTCTCCATCGTGTTCCAGCGTGTCATCCCAGAGTGCGGTATACGACCCATCTGTGATTTATGGCTGTTTGCCGACTAGTTAATTGACAGATCTTTGGGTTTGCCTAGGTTCTACTGGATGAGACAAGGATAATTCCCAGTCATGAATATGAAGCTTTGGTAACATAATCATTGGTTTATAATGCTTGCCGATCTTTTGCAGTAAACCGGCTAATGTGCTTATTTTAACTTTTGGAAATCATTTAATGCACTTCCATAATGGCTGTCATAGAACACCAATAGAACAAAACTAAGACAGAGGAGCATTCCTATGCTTTTTTTGCCCGTTCAAAGACGAAAGTCCTTGCATCTGCGAGTGCAAGTTCCTCGTGATTACGCAACTACTTATCAATATTAATGACGTGAAACTGGAAATTTGCGTTGCGCTGTATGACACCCAGTGTGCTGCCCTCTGACCCCCCCCCCCCCCCCGTTTGTTCGACAGCACCTGATGCGTCAGGTGGGGGACGAGGCTCAGGAGTACCTCAACCAGCGGATGGCCGGAGCGCGACTCACCGTGCCGCGCCTGTCCTGTCTGGGCATGGAAGGCAAGCCACGTAAACACACTCGATTCGCTTCCTCCGCTGTCGTCTGGTGGCATGAGTGGAGGTCACGGCCTGCCTGTGTGCCGTGTGCTGACTGCTGTGCCCCGCTCAGTGGAGTGGAGGTCACGGCCTGCCTGTGTGCCGTGTGCTGACTGCTGTGCCCCGCTCAGTGGAGTGGAGGTCACGGGCTGCCTGATAGCCTGTGCTGTGTCCCGCTCGGTGGCCGACCCCCCCCCCCCCCCTCCTCTTCCCCTGCAGTACGACACTCGGTCACAGCTGACAGCACGAGTCAGTTCAATGCTCTTCTCCCTTTCATATGGCGGTATAAAATCCCACGCGTAAAACTGCGGCCTGTTTTCTGCTAGCCCTGCTTGGCAAAGTTTACGTGATGTTCTCACAGACCTGGCTCTGTTGTTTTGCTCAGAGTTTTTCTTCCTGTGTGCGAAAGCTCCTGTTCAGATTGCCAGATCCACACTGAGGCGCAGTCCTCGCCGGAGGCTCAGCGAACGTCGTTTTGATCCCGCTAAACAGCCTCTGTTTTAAGGTTAGCATTTCGGCGCTGGGTTTCCATTTTGGCACGCGTCGCCGACGTCTTAGGGCGGCGCGGCGCGTGGCCTCCCGCGGGAGATTTGCTCGTCTGCTCACGTCCTGTCGCTGTATTATCGGCCGGGGTGGCCGCTCACCTAGCAGTATCCCCAGGGCAGCGCCAGCGGGCCCACGGCGGTCGGTGGCGGATGGTGGACGATGCACGGTGCGAACAAAACAGTTTATTTCATAAAGGCTACGTGACAAGGACGGCCGGAGTGACCTATATGGACCTTTGGACGTTTGTGAAGGTGACGTGCGTTGCGTGTTGCTGGCATCGTTGGGCCTGCAGACTGAGTTCGTTTGAGATCGATAGAAGGAAGCCAGTGGCGCATGCTGAAGAAAAACAGGAGCCGTGGGTGATGTAACTTGATGATGCAATCGGCTCGCCGCTGGGTGAGCCGGGAGGGGTGGCCGGGGGTGGCCGATGAATTGGGGGGGCCCGGCCCGGGTCGCCGCCTGCAGGGTGTCACAGCGGGGAGAGCTGTGACGGCTCCGCTGGACCACTGGCTGGCCATGTCCTGTCAGCGACAGACGGGTCGGAAACGCGCCGCTCCCCGGCCGACTGCGCCGCGCTCGTCGCACTGGGAATAGCGCCGTTGCCGGCTGCACGCTCGATAAAGCGCCGCAGTGGAGTGCCGCCGTGAACAGACTCCTAATACCTCTGACGCTCCGTATGTGTTCACTGCCCGACAGCGCCATTATTTCTGCAAATTTTCAGTCACGTCAGGCCAGGTCACGCGCTCTTTCTGAGGATGTCGAGATATAATGTCGGATTTGTTGGCGGACGTGCCCCGAAAGTGCGGCTCTCTTACGTTATGCAAAGTGAGTTTACTGGCGTCGTTCGTCTTGTGGCGATTTTGAAGGCTTCACATTATAAATGAACTAGGATGTCAACAAACAAGGTTCCTTAAAATTTGAAAGCCACATAATACATGCAGAGGGTAGCCGTCTGCCATTAGAAAGGCGTCTTTAAATACAGTCATGGTGCTTCACCGTATAAGTTCATAAAAGCATTTGTTAGGCATCGTTATTTATTTATTTTTTTTTTTTTTTTGCTTTTGCGTAGTGTAAATTGAGCAGTATTTTTCCTAACTAGATGTGTTTTGCGACCCTGCATGCGACATTGATCTCCTTGCATGACAGTTTCGGGAATGCGTCGTGTCCGTTCAGTGGCGGATCCAGAGGGGGGGGGGGGCATGGGGGCCATGCCCCTCTTGGGCCTCCCGGAGGGGCACCATCACGGATGTTTTTTTTTAATTCATCACGGAGGTCACCGACGGGAGCTTCAACCCAGAGGTCTCCTAAGGGGCACCATCCAGAAGGTCTATCGGAATAGTGTACCGCTTTCGGGTTCTCCCGGAGGCCCCTTTCTGTCCCTCGCCTCGGGTGGGGCTATTTCCATACCGAGGTCCGCGGGGGCACCATCTCGAGTTCTCCGGGGGCACTATCCCGCTTTCTCCGTGGGAACCATCCCAAGGTCGGAGGGGGCACCATCTTGAGGGTCCGGGGGCACCATCCCGAGGTCTCCGGTGACACCATCGCGAGGTCTGGGGGCACCATCCCGAGGTCTGGGGGCACCCTCCCGAGGTCAGAGGGGGCACCATCTTGAGGGTCCGGGAGCACCATCCCGAGGTCTCCGGTGGCACCATCGCGAGGTCTGGGGGCACCATCCCGAGGTCTGAGAGCAGAGGGGGCACCATCCCGAAGTCTCCGGGGGCACCATCCCGAAGTCTGTCTCCGGGGGCACCATTCCGAGGTATCCGGGGGCACCATTTCGAGGTATCCGGGGGCACCATCCCATGGTCTCAGGGGCACCCATCCCGAGGTCTCAGGGGCACCATCCCGAGATCTTGGGGGCACCATCCCCCTGAGTAAGTGGCCGAAATCCGTGGATTTTTTTAAAGGGTGGCGGCACCAAATGCCAGGAGGCGCCACAATACCGTATGCCCCCCCCCCCCCCACCTCGACGAAATCCTGGATCCGCCACTTTGCCCGTTAAATATTGGTGGAATGTTACTTACACATTACTTCTTATATAATGGTATAGCAAGGAACCCCAATCATTTTATCAACCTTATCTTCACTTGATGAGAGAGAGAGAGAGAGAGAGAGAGAGAGAGAGAGAGAGAGAGAGAGAGAGGAGAGAGGAGAGAGAGGAGAGAGAGAGAGAGAGAGAGAGAGAGAGAGAGAGAGAGAGAGAGAGAGAGAGAGACCATTCCGCTATAGAAAAATGGTTGCATTTGCAAACACTTGTTGCATTTTGCATCAACTGTTCTCTTTCCTGGGATTCTCGCTTTTGTTGGCGGACATTGGGCGTTCTACGATTTTTTTCTGTATTTACCGTATCGAAAGCGAACAACATCTTTTGGAAACTGTCCTTCAGTAGACAACTACGCATGTGATCCAGTGATGATAAATCTAGTCAGCTTTATAACGTGTTAAGGATATGGTATCGTTTGCATGGAGCTGTTTCTGCCCTCTGCAGTCTGCATACGAGTATATGTAGTTTGCAAGTGGCGTAACAAAGTGTAACGATTTATGACTTACTGTGTTCGGGTGTATGTTGGGAAATAGTTTGTAGTAGTGGTGCATCATGACTTATTCTTCACGTCCTGCATATCAATTTAAATGCAACTCTGTCGTATATTAATTTGAATAATGCAATATGAACTGGTTTGATAATATTTGCTTTCTTTTCCTTGCGCGTGTCGATGCTCCATACAGTATAAACGTGAAATCCATACAACATAAAGCGGTTTATGACCCGCATTCGATAAACGTCTGTCCCAGTGCGTCGGTGCCGTTGACTAGCCGGTAGGCATGACCTAGACGTGCTCTGTAGACAGGCCAGTCGCTGGCAGGACTGGGCCGGGGGTGCCGGTCCGCCGGCGCGGCGCGGGTCGGGCCGGCGGGCTGGCCGCTGCCGCCGGCCCCTCTGCTGACTGAGCACTGTCCGCAGGGCCCTCGATGACAGAGAGCACCGAGATAACATCGCTCTGCTCTTACACAGAGTACGATGTGGACGCGCCGGAGCCCAGCCTCAGGTCAGTCGGCGCGCCGCCGGACGGCCCCCGCCGCCCCATCACGGACGACACTGCTTATCGCTATTGGGGCAGGAGGTATTCGCCTGATTTTACTTAGCACGTAGTCAGAGGGGCAGCTAGATGCGCACTGTTGCGCACTAAACTCAGAAATGCTAGCAGGCTGCTATGGGGAAGAAGCTCATATTCTCTCGCGTGCATGCTTACGAGCATGCGTACTGCGTATGCGTTACGGCGTGCGTATGTACATGCGGCGCGTGCACGTGGTATGCACGTGCTGTAGTTATGATAGGAGGTCGTACAAACAGTAAGATAGGTAGGGCAGACTGCATGGACTCGCATAAGAGCAGTTGGTAATGCCATTTTGCTATAAAGTTGTTGTATATTTCCAGATTAATGATCGTCAAATTAGCAAAAGCTTTATAACAACAAAACATTTGTATGTACACAACCACAACCCTTTTGAGAATGATTAATCAGTAGCCTTAAAAAGAATGGCCTAACTTCTGTAAATGCCGCATTCTGGATAAAACAAAATAATTAAAAATGTATTTAATCCCGCATAGATGTTGTGATTGTCAATATGAGTTGTAGCTAGACATAATGCAAAATCATTCGGCCGCCGCCCGCCAGGAGTTGATCCTACAACATCTAATGTCTTGCCTAAGGTCTTTTATCAGCACAGAAACGATAAACATGTTTTTTGAATTGTGCTTTCTTCCAACATCTATTATAGCAGCAGGTATAAAGCGCTCTCTGGTTCTACAAAACTAACGCTTGTATGCTGGCTCACCCGTCCATGTAGTCCGAGAGCTAAAATCAGTGAATTTAAGAATATGCTGCTCGGTGAATGTGAAACCATTCACAGTAGTGTTTCAGAAATCCAAATTTGCATCGGCTTCAATCGGCTTCTCATAAGCTTAGGCTTTCAAGCAACTATAGTATCCTAGCCCTCGCCGGACCTATTGGTTTTCTACATACGCGCCGGCCGAGGGGGGGGGGGGCGGGTACGACCCCCCTCGCCGTTTCGCCCCTGGTGGAGCTAGCGCGTCGTGGAAAAAACGAGCGTGTGCGCCGTTACGAGACGCAGAGATTGGTACCCAATTTTAAGATCCTAGGTCAACCGGTGACCTCTGAGGTCAGGTCAAGTGCCCCAAGATACGGTTCAGTTTTTGGTGAATAACTTCGCAAAAAACGGCCGCAGAGCCGCGATTTTGGCAGCATCGTGTTCGCCTCGCTCAGGCGCGTCGAATGATATACTTTTTGTCCGGGTCAGGTCAACTTGGGGTGTTGACCTCAGGTCAAGGTCAGGTCAGCACCCCCAGGTCACGAAGTTGGTCGAAAGAGGTCATGTCGCATATCATTCGATTCGGCAGGTCTTTCTGAGTCCATTGGTGGCTTTCCCGACTCGCTAGCTCAATTTGATTAAGAGTTATTGAAGAAAAACTAATATGACCTTGATGACGTCATAAATGACGTCACGCAAGGTCAACATTGCAAAAGTGACGCATCTAACCTTGCAAGGAGTGTATCAAATCACGATTCTGTGTGCTTGAGATAGTTGGAGATCGTTCCCGGCGCCAGAATAGCAGTTTTCATTTTTCCCCATTGACTTATAATAGAGAGGTCACGAAAATGACCTGACCTCATATGACCTTTAGGAAAAATCCGAGATATACAAATTGTGAGACCCATAATGGATACTAGATCCTGCAAGTTTCATTTCCCTGTGACATCTCCTCTGGCAGTGAGGGCATTGCGAAGTTGCGACATCTGAAGACCGTGCAGAGGTTCACTTATGACGTCACAGGTCAGTGACCTGACCTGACCCAAAAATGCGGTTGGTGTCAAAAGATCCGGCTTGAATCAAAGGTCAGGTATGCCAAGTTTCAGCTCTCTATCGCCAGCGTGTTCGGAGCTATGGCGAAAAAAACCCTATGGGGGGGGGGCACCCGCCCCCCCCCCTCGGCCGGCGAGGGCTAGACTTGTACTGGCATGATTTACAAATCACCTCCAATATAGGGTACAACTATGACATTTTTCGGCTGCTGAGTTTCTGTCGCGCCGTTGGAATTTGTCGGAACATTTAACGGCAACACATAATGAAACATTTGTTTCACGCGCCAGTTGCTGAAACTGACCGGACCTGACCGGACCAGACCTGACCTGACCCGACCAGACCTGACAAGATCCGACCTGACCCGACCGAACCTGACCTGACCTAACCTAAACCGACCTGCCTCTCTGACCCGCCCTGACCCGTCCCATGGGCGCGTCCCCAGGAAGCGTTCGTCGGTGCAGCACACGCTGCTGCCGTCGATTGCCGCGTCGACGGACAACTTGGGTGAGCTGCCGTCGCCGCCGACGTCGCCGTTTGTGCCCTTCCAACGCAACTACCTGGTCGCCAACGGCCTCGAGGTGGAGCTGGGGAACATCATCGTCGAAAACGTCGACGAGCCGAGGTCAGCAGAAACAATTATAACGGCCCAGCGGGCTGAAACTGGGCATATGTGATGGACTAATGGCAGCTTGGTGCGCTTGATAGACGACCGTTCAATCCAAGCTAATATCCCTTTGGGAGCCAGCGAAACTTGGGAGTTCCAAGTTTCCCATGATATGCTTACAGCTGCACATATTTGATGTTACGTACGTCCTGGTCCCTGTACAGTTGTTACATTTGTTACAGTCTTTACCGTTTAAATGTCCCCCGCACTGTCTCGCTCCACTGCAGTGCTGTGTGCCGGCTCGGTCTGCCATTTCCACTGACTGGTCTGTTCTGACGGGCCCGGCGGGAGCTGATGTAGGCGAACCGACCGGTCCCCCACGGCGACGTCCGTCGCGCGCTGACGTCTATTGGTCACTTATCGCGGCCATTTGGCTCGGGGATCGCCCGCGGCGAGATATGTGTCCGTTTGACGACAGGGCTCTAAGCCGACCGCCGCCAATTCATACATAGGTATACCGATAATGGTGGGATGTAGTGTGCTGTCTCGGTGAACCAAGAAGGCATCACAGCCAGATTGAGTAGGGCTGTTGGGATGCCTTTAACTACGGTACATAATAAGTTGAAATAAGTTGGTTAAATTGCCGGAAACGGGAGAAGGCCGTAATAAGGTAAATCTCTCACGTTGATTTCATTGTTTAATCGCTGACTGATAAATCATTTTTGTAGTGCCTGAGTGTTTATTTTCCGACATCATGGGAAAAATGCAATGATTGCAAATGGCACGGCATACTTTTAACCCTCGCCCTGGCAGGGCATTTTTCATAACACGGCCTGACAGGGGGGGGGGGGGGGGGGGTCGATACGACCCTCCCCCCTCGCGATTGGCTCCTATGGCACCTAGAAACACCAAATTTGGTAAGTAGGTGGGCCCCCTGGAGTTCTCGCCCCTGTGCAAATTTGGTTGCTGTAGGTCAATATTTAGGGGGTTTGGGGGGGGGGGGTATAAATGTAAAAATTTCGCTAAAAACAGGTCAAAAGTTTTTCGCTTATAACTTTTGATCTAATTAAAATAGAGCAAAAAGAAAAGCACCAGTGAACTCAGCACGTCAAGGCGCGTCGAATGATATACTTTTTAGCTTGCTTAAGTGTACTTAAGGTTTTCTTAATTTTTAAGTAATCTTTAATTAATTAATTAAGTTAAAGTTAACCAAATTGCATCATATCGCATATCATTCGATTCGGCTGATCACCAGGAACACAATGCCACCATTTTTTCAGCTCTAGCGTCATCATGTGCCAAGTTATTGGCAAAAACGTCATTTGACCTCAGTTGACCTCATTTGACCTGACCCATGGATAAGTACACCAAACAAAGAAGCACCAAGTGACCTGCTGTTAAGTACTGTGGTTTCAAAGCACAAAAGTGATAGAACGAAGCGGATATCTCCAGTATTTTCCGAATTTAGTATTTTCCCATAGGCTTAACATTACGACGTAATGACCTCTAACTGACCTCAGGTCAGTGGCCTAAAAAAACGAACTATATGTTATACAACTCGGTGAACTTAGATCACCCTGAAAGTTTGAAGTAAATCAGTCCAAAACTGTGAGTTGGACAGGTGCAAAAAGAAAATTGAAATTTGACCATGACCTTGTACCGGTTTTCCTGACCTGGTGACCTGACCCAAGGTCACCCGGACCTGAAATTTTAAGGTCATATGTAAAAAGGTTGCCCCATAGACTGTGCCAAATTTGGCGGCGCTGCGCGCCGCCGTTTTTACGCTATCTTCGAAAAACCTTAGGGGGGTGTCGCATCGACCCCCCCTGCCAGGGCGAGTGTTAAACCCCTAAATGGGCTGCTATTTAGCATTCTTTTAAAAGAATTACATTTTTTAGATATTGGCAAAGGACCAAAGAACATATTGTGTTGACAAGTTTGTGCCGCTCACCGTCGCAAATATGTTGCTCACAGAAGACATTTTCTTTGTCCTTTTATCATTAAAAGCACCATCAGCGATAGATGAAAGAAAACGCTTGAAGGTTTGTTTCTCGTATATGAATAATTTCAAAGGAATGACTTAAATTTAAAGTTCCTCTGCCCTCTGTCGCAGAAAACCCACGAATAAGACACTGCGTTTTAGCTCCAGTGCTAGTTCGTGGTGACGAGCCTAGAATTAAGAACCGCAATATCACGTCCACGCCATAAGCTTTTGCTTGGGAAGGCTTACATAATGGAAATCCCGGACACTAGGCGGTGATTGTACTCCATGTCCAGCTGTCCCGCTGTTCGAGCAGCCCCAGCCCGCGGCAGTGTGACTCACCCTGCCCCTCCGTCTCTCCCTGCGGCAGCTGTTACGCGGTGAAGGACCCCTCACCTCCGTCTCCCTGCGGCAGCTGTTACGCGGTGAAGGACCCCTCACCTCCGTCTCCCTGCGGCAGCTGTTAGGCGGTGAAGGACCCCTCACCTCCGTCTCCCTGCGGCAGCTGTTACGCGGTGAAGGACCCCTCACCTCCCTGTCTCCCTGCGGCAGCTGTTAGGCGGTGAAGGACCCCGCACCTCCCCTCACCTCCCTCTCTCCCTGCGGCAGCTGTTACGCGGTGAAGGACGGGGAGGAGAGTCTGGCCGAGGAGCCGGCCGTCGAGCTGCTGCTCGGCCAGTCGGCGCCGGCCGTGCACAAGTTCGGCCGCAGCTCTCTGGACTGTGTCATGCACCACGGTCTGCTGTCGGTGCCGGCCAGCGACGAGCCGCTGCTCCGCCGGCGCAGCGACCCCGGCGTGCGCCAGTACAGCCTGGCCAGCGCCATCAACGCGCTCAACGCCAGCCTGGCCAACATCATCAACGCCACGTCGTACAGCACCGTCACCAACAACAGCAGCTCCATCTCGCGCTTCATCGAGGAGGCCGCCTTCCAGGCGCTGCACTCGTCCAGCTCCGACCCCAGCCACCTGGAGGGCGGCGACGTCGGCGACGGCGCCGACCTCGACTCGCCGCCGCCCGACGACGACTCGGACTCGGCGCGACTCGGCGAGTCGAGCGGGCCGAGCGAGCCGAGCGGCTCCAGCGCCGAGGCCACCACGCGCTCGCTGGACTCGCTGTCGGCCGAGTGCGGCGACTCGGACCTCCAGTCGGTCTCCGAGTCGGCGCCGCCGCCCCCCGGGCACGCCCTCCTCGTCAACGGAGACGTCCTCCAGATGCTGCGCATGCGCAACAGCCAGCTCAGCGTTAAACCGGTCGCAGAATCAGGTGAGTGTGCTGTGAATATGTTGGCCAGCATAGGCCGTGAGCAGCTGTTTTAATTTTTCTGTGGCCTTTTTCTATCAATGCATGAAGGACGAGGCTCGTTTCGATCGAAGAGGGTTAGGCTCCTTTAAAAATTAATTGTGCTGGTTTATGTAAAGTTAACACTTTCATCCTTTTATGTTTCCCTGAAAAGAAGCTTTTATATTCAAAATTATAGCAGTTCCATTCTTTCGGTTGACGCATCTCTCCCATCCGTCGCATTAAGGCCGAATATATTGAGCCCGAACTGTCGTTCCACGCAGGAAATTGGAAAATAACTCGCGTTTGGTGTCCTTGCATTGCCCTTAGCTCGTCTAGCTGCTGGGCGAACCCGACGTAGCGTGATTTATCGCATCGGATCGTGTTTTGTCTCGCACTGTGGGTAGCTGCTGAGTGCTGATGTTATAGAGTCGCCTGTAGCATGACATATGTAAAACATCATGCTTTTCAACACTAGCTGGTAGGAAATCAATTGGATGTCGTTTAACCATCTGTTCTTTCAGTTACTGCCGTTCCGTGCGCGTAACAACTCGTGGCATCTCAGTCCCAGAGACCTCCTCCCGCACTTTCCCTCCATAAAAGGCCTCTTCCCGCCACCTTCCTCCCCACCAACACGCCTCTCCTCTGAGTTACCCACCCAAGCGCTCTTTGCCCCGCCTCCATGTGCCCCACTCCATGCCTCTCCTCTGCGGTGCTCGGCGCTCTATAGTTCTATACCTCTCCGCGATGGGCCCGTTTCGCCAGCTGGCCTGTGTTTTATGTCCCTGTTGCCCGCCCGCCGGACGGTGCGGCGGTAAATTCGACTCGGCTCGGTTTATGGGGTAAGACTGGCGGTGGCGGCACCCGCCCGCGCCGCCGCACGTCGCCGGCGCGGGCGCGGCCTCATCCAACTTTCGGCGGCGGCGGAGTTATCGGACACGACGCAATGGATGGGACGGCCTCACGTGGCGGGGCTGGTCGGGCGCCGCGCCGGGGCACGCCGCACCTGAGACTGGTGCGTGCGTCTGTGAGGCGATGAGCATTCAACATTTAACATGGCAAACGCACTGGGGCTGAAGGGTTCGGCAACACATTTTAAGTTAGAGCAGGTTCCGAATGCCCTTATCACTAAAATAGCACCGATCACTTTATCCCCACATGATAGGGTCGATCAGCTCCACTCTACTCCTGTCCACTCCCCCCTCCCCCTCTGTACCCGTCTGCCGTTTCCGGCCGTTAAATGAAAGAGCCGCCTTTGACGAGCGCCGCGGCGATGACGTCGAATTAGCTCTGTCGATTGATTAGTCTGGGTGGTGGACGCGGCGGCGGCAGTCGGTCGGCTCTGTGCCGGGACTCCATCCGAAGGCCATCACAAACGACGTCGGGCCGCGCGGCAAGAAATGGCGCCGCACGAAATGATCACTGCAGAGATGAGCTGCCCGACGATGGCGCAGATCGTAGAGACGGTCCGGGTCCCGAAATGAAGCTCCGCCGGCGGAGACCGCACATCCGGCGCGTGCCACGGGGGGAGGGGGGGGGGGCAGCACGGGGTGGGAACCAGTTCAATCACCAGCGCCGCTACCTCTGCGATTCAAAGATCGATTATTTTTGTTATTTTAGAACGTGAGATAAACATATATTTGTTGCTATTGCTAATGATCTTTTCACGTCTTTAAATGAGGTGTTTGAACGGCACTGCAACCATAGCAATTAACCCTCGCCCTGGCAGGGCATTTTTCATAACACGGCCTGGCAGGGGGGGTCGATGCGACCCCCCCCCCCTTGCGATTGGCTCCTATGGCACCTAGAAACACCAAATTTGGTAGGTAGGTGAAACTCCTGGAGTTCTCGCCCCTGTGCAAATTTGGTTGCTTTAGGGTCAATATTTAGGGGGGTTTTGGGGGGTATAAATGTAAAAATTTCGCTTAAAACAGGTCAAAAGTTTTTCGCTTATAACTTTTGATCTAATTAAGATAGAGCAAAAAGAAAAGCACCAGTGAACTCAGCACGTCAAGACGCGTCGAATGACATACTTTTTAGCTTGCTTAAGTATACTTAAAGTTTTTCTTAATTTTTAAGTAAACTTTAATTAATCAATTAAGTTAAAGTTAGCCAAATTGCATCATATCGCATATCGTTGGATTCGGCTGATCACCAGGAACACAATGACACCATTTTTTAAGCTCTAGCGTCATTATGGGCCAAGTTATTGGCAAAAACGTCATTTGACCTCAGCTGACCTCATTTGACCTGACCCATGGATAATTACGCCAAACAAAGAAGCACCAAGTGACCTGCTGTTAAGTACTGTGGTTTCAAAGCACAAAAGTGATAGAAGGAAGCGGATATCTCCAGTATTTTCCGAATTTAGTATTTTCCCATAGGCTTAACATTACGACGTAATGACCTCTAACTGACCTCAGGTCAGTGACCTCAAAAAACCCGAATTATATGTTATACAACTCGGTGAACTTAGCACATCCTGAAAGTTTGAAGGAAATCAGTCAAAAACTGTGAGTTGGACAGGTGCAAAAAAAAATTGAAATTTGACCATGACCCTGTACCGGTTTTTCTGACCTGGTGACCTGACCCAAGGTCATCTGGACCTGAAATTTTCAGGTCATATGTACAAAGGCTGCCCTATAAGCTGTGCCAAATTTGGCGGCGCTGCGCGCCGCCGTTTTTACGCTATCTTTGAAAAACCTTAGGGGGGTCGCATCGATCCCCCCCCCTGCCAGGCCGAGGGTTAAATGGGTGATTTACGTTCAAAAAGACAATTAGTTAATTGCATACATAACTAGCTTGTCTTCAATGAAAACGTTTATCTTTTTTTGCAAAATAAACATATATGTACAGCCTTTCACATGCGAAATGTTAGAAGTGCGTAACGTCGCCGTGTTTTGAGATTGTATCGTTCGGCAGTTGGACAGCGTTTCGCGTCACTCCTGAGTCCTGCGGCAGCGGGGCAGCCGGCCGGGGAGCAGAGGCCACCCTCCTCTCAGTTCGAGAGGAGAGTGTTTTGGTCGCATGAGGAGCACGATTCCCATTTCCGGCCGTGGCCTCGGGCTGATTTGGGGCCAGTTCAGATTGCTTTTGTACTGCGAGCGGCGCCCGGCCACCAAACGAGGTGATGTCTCGGCCTGGTTCGGGCAGTTCTGGGGCTCAGTTCTGCTGACTGATGGTAGACCGGGCGCGGTCGGAACTATCTAGAGGAGAGGCTCGATGTGACGCTAGCAATTGTTTCACATGCAGGAAATAACACAAACAATGTGAGGTTTCCATTTTAAACAGGGTCGGTGTCGGAACAATGTCGTCTCGGTACTGTTGCCTTTAATTTTCTTTGAATCCAGCAGGTCATGTAACGTATTTAATCATTTGAATTAATGATACCATTGGAGTTTATAGCCTACATGCCACAGTGATTTCTCATGGGCATTTTTCACCAGGACCCGACACTCTGAAACTTTCTGCGACATAGCGGATGACATTGATTGAGCGCGGGCCTTCTATTGATGAATGCTCGAGTCCACTATGCAGCATATGATGGCGTGTTTATGTATAGAAGCAATAAAAGCATATTCGGCTAAAAGAATGCCAAACGCTGATGATAACTCAGCCAGCTGTAAATTTGTTGTTAACTTATGGTCATGAATTTAAAGTGACCAGACAGTTTATCATTTGACTTGGCAAAAAAATAATCGCTGAATGTGACAGTTTTGGTCTATTGGGCATGCATATTTCACACATTATATGGATCGCAAAGTGAAGTTTTTGTGTTATCTTTCTTACAATTTTATTATCTATGTATTCTAAACGGTGCACCAAAAAAAAAAGGAAAGGTGTGCTTCTCTAAGCGGCGACATGTACATGATTTCGCAATGTCATGACATGGAAGTATAAAACAGCATAAGGTACCTCAAGATGATCGAGTCAAACGTTATCAGTTCAGGATTTCAGTGATGGCTTGTTTTCGCGCCAGATGACACCTAACAGTTGAAACGTCTGCCTGCCTGGCCGTAATCACCAGTCGATTCCCGCTGTCATCTGCAGCTGCCTGAGAGAGACAGCTGCACACGATTGGTAACGTAATGTCGCCCTTTGATCCGGTCATATGGTAAATGGTGAAATTATTGCATAAATATGTGCTTGGGTGCAGAGGACATATGTAAGACAAGTCTCCGTCAACCTCCTCCCCCCCCCCCCCCCCACACACACACACATAGGTACACAGTACACACAATGCACAGTTTAAACACGCGCAGTGGAAGGGTTGCGAATACTACGCCCAGTGGAAGGGGGGGGGGCGGATGGCGCCCCCCTAAGATCTCAGCTCCCAGTGGAGCTAGGAAGACGAAATTTGGAGGGTAGATGGGGCCCTGGGGAACTCTGTTGTGTGTGAATTTCATGACCCTAGGTCAATATCTTCAAGGTCAAATGAGGTCAAATGTGGACAAATCTGCCATATGAGGGACTTTTTTGCGTTTACACGCCGATAACTCAAAAAGTTACCGGCCGATTTTCTTTTTTCTTTCACTTTACGAAAGAACATACATTTGTGAGTATGTATGGTGAATTTCTAGTTAATCAAACAATAAATACGGCAGTTAGAAGCCTGCTAAGGGTAAGATGTCGCCGGCTGAAGCGGGATCGGCCGACGCGGGAAAAGCGGCAATCACAATTTTGTGTTTACACACTCATAACTCAAGTTTTTACCGGCCGATTTTCAAAATTCTTTGATAATAATATTGCCTGTACATTTCTTAGGCTTCTCATCAAATTTGACGCGAATCGAATATAATCAGCGGTAAGGAGCGCGATGTAAAGACGGAACCGTCCCGCCCCGGCACAGTCTACAATTCAGGCGGCGCGTAACGGCTAGCGCCGGCCGCCGCGCCGCTGCGCCGCCGCGGCGGCAGGATGTTTGACTTTACACCGCTATTACTAGAAAAGTTGCGAACCGATTTTCTTATTTCTTGCACGAGAAG